TCCTTCCTTCCTTCCTTCCTTCCTTCCTTCCTTCCTTCCTTCCTTCTTTCCTTCCTTCCTCTGGCTGGCCTCCGTTAGGAGGGCGGCAGTCTTCTGCAGGCAGACAGGTAAGAGGCAACCCTTGTGTGGCCTCGTCCAGAGTACATCCAGGTCCGGTCTCGCGTTAATTTTAACCCTTCCTTTTCTCTTGCTAAACAACACTTATTCAATGTGTTAGTGTTTATGTACTCCATTGTAAAACAAATTTCCCAGTCGGATCAATTTAGTGGATTTAAAAAGAAGTATATTATCATTTTAAAAACAGAAATGCAAAACTTTCAACCCTCTTTTGTGTATCTTTATTCTCAGGAGAATACCGTCTTGGTTTCAATGCCTGCGAGCAGGAAGTCCGCAAATATTTAGGCTCCAACTCTGAGGAAGACATAGAACTGAAAACGAAACTGCTGGACCATCTGGCCAATTGTGTGGACGGGTGTTTGAACCCTCCGTCGGGAGGCGGGGGTGGAGGAATAGGAGGTGGAACCTCATCCAATTCTTCTCCGTCCTCTTCAGCTTTCTCTCACGCATCCTCCCTCTCCCTTTCCCCCTCCTCCCCTCTATCTTCCCCGTCCTCCACCACGCTTTCTCCAGAAGGCCAGAAGCCCCCCAGCACAACGACAACTACTGTCATTGACACTTCCGGTTCCCCGATGACGCCAGCAATGACGTTGCGTGAGTTCCGGTCATGTGACTCCTCGGAGACCCACCACCCTCCTGTTATCCTCCAAGCTGCATTCTCCTCCCCTCCAGGACTTGACCCGAGAAACGTCTCCTTGGCGACAAACGCAGACGACATCTTGAGAGCCATCCTCACCAACGCGTCTGCCTCGGCCGTTACTTCCAAACTGCAACCAATAACTGTGACGTCACTTCCCCAAAACACGTTTCTGAAGCCAGCGGATTTCTCCAGTTTGGCTGCCTTCAGTAATGTTTCAAATTCAGGAAGGTGTTTGGTGGGGAGCGGAGGGGATGGAAATGGTAACAACAACAACAACAACAGCAACAACAACAGCAGTACCAGGCATGCAACCGTGGTGTCGGAGATCAATAACAACACTATTACGCTGCCAACTTTCATAAACGTTAACGGGGCCTCGACTACACTGACAAACTCAGCATTTGCCGCGGACGCTCAGCAGATTCACATAAATCATCATCTGCAACAGCAGCAGCAGCAGCAGCAGCAACAACAACAACAGCAACAACAACAGCAACAACAACAACATCATCAACAACAACAACAACAAGAGCAACAACAACAACAGCTGCAGCTTACTAGTTGCGATCTTCCTCAACAGCAGCAACAACTCTCGCAACAGCAACAGTTGATTCAATTTACTTCCACGGGTTTACTTCCAACTAAACAACAACAACAACAACAACAACAACAACAACAACAACAACAACTACAACAACAACAACGTCATCAACAACAACAACACAAATTTCAACAGCAACAGCAGCAAGATTTGTCACAGCAACGGCTCCAACTTACTTCCAAAGAGCAGATTCATCCACAGCAAGTACCACAACTGCAGCAGCAGCAGCAGCAACAACAACAACAGCAGAGTCAGTTACAACAACAGCAGCAACAAGAACAACAACAACAACAACAACAACAACAACGACAACAGCAACAGCAGCAGCAGCAGCAACTACTATTACACCAGCAGCAAAGACTCACTGACACTTCTAACATCATCACCAACATGAGTGGCCTTCAACTTCTGCCCACGAAGACACCAACTGGAGAAATTGCCTTTGTCGTCCCGGCCAGCGTCATCAACGCAGGAACTTACGTCATTCCAGTCCTTGCCCCGCCCACTGTCAATCAAGCACCAACCTTTCATGAAGCACACGATTTCAACACGCCCACTTCTCTCCACTCAGCGTTTCCTTTACCGAACATTTCGCATAATCTTTCAGCTCAACAACGACCGGCCATTAGTCTTCCTGTTACAGCAGTAGCAGCTGCAGCAGCACCAACAGCACCAACAGCATCAACAACAACAACTGCAGCAGCAGGCACTAGCCAACTCAGTAATTCTACCGTTCAGATAGAACGAACTGAACCCCATGCCCCATTCAGTGGGCACACTACTCTACAGACCAAACCTCTGAATCTTTCCGCTCCGATCCCGCAGACACCTACCACAATGCTCCCTCTTTCCACAGTAATCGCTCAAAATCAGGTATCTATACCTAGCGTCCTAACACTCCCACAAGAAACAGTGACGACGTCACGAGTCGTTGTGCCGCCATTGGTATCTGTAACCAGCCAATCAGAATGGACTCCTAGCAAAACTCCGGCTTTACATCACGATCGGGATCTTTCGCCAAGTTTTCGTGAGGTTCCGTACCCTACTTCGACAATGCACGTCCCGGCTAGTGCGAGTTGTGCCGAGAGAGACAGTTCACCGATGCTTACCGAACCTCAGAACTTTAGTCTCCGGGATAATAGCATTATGTCCAGACAGCAGACTCCTCCCAGAAAGCGAGAAGCTGTAGAGGGAGAAGAGAAGGGAGTGAGCTTTGGCGCTAAGTCCAGGGCTAGAGATGGCAAGCGCTCCTTTTTCAGGCCCTGGTGATAATTTGTTACTAATGAGTAGTGATTATTACCCCCCCCCCTCCTCTACACACACTC